AAGCGGAGGAGCAGAGCAGTGAGAGGCGCTTGTCACTGCGACACTGCCCCGGCAAGTTTAAAAGGCTGCATTGCAAATCCTCGTCGCCAGAAAAGTCCAAAATCGTTAAAGGAAACATGACCGGAGATTACAAAAAACACGAGTTAATGTCGGGATAGCTTTTTCCAGGTGGATAGAGCTAATGCAGCAGAAAGATTTCAAAAGTTGCCTGCTTTCTTCTTGACAGGTAAGTCAATGTTACAGTCTTATTACAAGCTTTTTTTCATTGTTTGGTTGTGTTCTTTATTTTATAGACAGATGAACATTTATAGTTAAAAGTTGATGATGATATCTAACAATGCACGTAACGTTACTTCAGAAAATATAACGGATAAAGAAGTCATAACTACTTATTACAATAGTTCATGTTTTTCACAGTCAACATACTAACATTCGTTTGTTCGTTGTGTAAAGTTGCCAAACCTGTTCACCCGAGTAGCTTTTTGTTACATAATGGCTACCGTAGATGCAACGCGCGGCTGGAGAGCACAATTCGTTTGAATGCAAAATACATTTTCACCGCTAGATGGGATAAATTCCTACACATTGTCCCTTTAAAATATTCGGGGCGATTGTGGAATTATTTCTCTCCTTCCGGCAATCCTATCGGTAAAGTCCCGATTATCTTGATGGTTCAACAGATTATTTGATCAGATTGTCCTGTGTGAGTGACAAAATCTGCTCGGAAGAACGTCGGAGCCGCCCCGATCTCGAATCCTGTTGTTGTGTGGGGGGAAGTCGAGTCGTTTTTTCATAGACAGTAAGATTTGTTTACAGTCTATGGGAGAAACGCGCGAACGCTCTGGACGGAGATTGTCACGTGAAACGAAACAATAGCCAATCAGAAAGCGAGCTGACGGAAGATTACCTCGCGCTGTAATATGTATAGTTAATGTTTACCTCACGCTGTAATATGTATAGTTAATGTTTACACCGTCTCCACGACTTCATCTAAACATTTTTCTTAATGACTTAATACATAATCTACTTCGGGTTTAGGCTAAACCTGTTTTTTGAAGCAAACATTCTGAGTGTAAGAGTTGCCTGGATATTGCTGCATGGCATATGAGCTCCATTATCATTCTGAACTCGTTTATTTCACATTTGTATGAAGTGAATACAAACAACAGAAAGGGCATGGCAATTTCCTCGTCTTTATTATAATAGGATCAGTCAGCAGTCAGTCAGCTCTTGAAAGATGTTCATGTTATGCAACAAAACATTGCAATTAAACCATAACAGACATAGTAGGCTGGGATTAAGAGATAACTGCAGTTACCATTCAGAAGAATTGCAAACCGTAGCCTACAGATGTCCACATTAACACTACCTTTAGAAAAAAAGATATGAGTAATGTAGCTTTAAAAGAGATGTTTATGTCGCAACAATATGTAGCCTGCCAACTTATGCCTTAAATGAACACAAGTATAAATAAACACATAACAAAATATGTACACATTACAATTAATAAAGGTTCAAATGAATAATTTAACAAATCAATGGTTGTTTAAGGTTGGTAATTATCCATGTAAAAAATGGCAGAGAGAAAATGTTGTCCTTTTGTTAGTCACAAGTTTTTTTCATATAATTTCTATTAATTGGATCATCTCAGCTGTCATTGCCCTATAGAGGGCGCACAAACGCTCCCATATCTATCTATCTATCTATCTATCTATCTATCTATCTATCTATCTATCTATCTATCTATCTATCTATCTATCTATCTATCTATCTATCTATCTATCTATCTATCTATCTATCTATCTATCTATCTATCTATCTATGTCTATCTATCTATTATATGTCTATTGTTAACATCTGTAAGGGAGGAGAATTATCAAACATTTTTATTTTCAGTATTTAATAGTTTTTATCAATGGCTTTGGCACATTTCAAAACAGTCTTAGCATTCTCCAAACTGTAAGTGCAATTGTCACAACAGTTTGCTGGAACATCAGAACTCTGTTGCATGTCTGCAAAATGTAGTAACTCACCCAAAATATCGAATTCATACTTCAAAACCTAGATATTGAACACCAAATGCCACCAAAATAAAAAGTGTTTTTGTCATCATGAGTGCCACGCTGGTCAAAATGTTTAGATGTTGTTTTACCATGGAAATAAATGTCATGTTTTTTCTACTTTTTTGTTGACACTGACTGTACTATACAAGAATGTCGGTTTTATCTATCCGAATGAGAAACAGATTTTAGGTAAAAATTTACTGTGAAAAGTCAGTACATAGTACATAAAAATAAAATGGACATTTGTTTTTATACAGTAATTTATTTTATTATTATTCATTTATTTTAGGTTTGTGATGTTCCTTCATGCTCAAAAATTGTAAACTCTCAGCAAACTCATTCCAAACTTGATTGGTTGATTGGTAAGATTGTGATTTCTATGTCATTACAATGTCAGGACTCTTGCCAATTTAGCAGACATTACAAACATTGCATGTCAGATATATTTATGGAATATATTCATGCATGTCTGGGAGATTTTGATAACTGAATGGATGGTGTTGCATCCATAGCTCACACAATGAAAACATTTAAGACGTTGTGAAGAGTTTGACAATTGCACTGAGAATCAACTCATCAGATTTAAATTGCAAGTTATTGAGCAAATTACTCTTTTGCACACATGCAATTTGCCAAAATCAATTAGAAATTTAAATCTGATCAGATCCGAACTTATTGTTTTGAGAGAAAAAACTAAATTATTCAAGCAATTGAGCCTGCAGTTTTACAATCCTAAACCACTGACAACCAATTGTGTTCAATAACTTCTGTTTCTCGTGTAATACTCATGTCAACAATAGTCACAGGCTTGAAGATGTTGGGACATGTTGACTAAATGATAGTTACCCTCAGGACAGCTGGGTGGGTGGTCTCCCCCAGGGCCGGACGGGTAGACCCCCGAACAAACCTCAAATACTGTCATTTCAGGATATTTACCACTCTTTAATGTGTATCTTGTATGCACAGGATAATCCACTTGAGGCAGCAACATATTTTTATTAAACATAAATAAACAGCAACTAATTAGGAGTATCATGTGTTACATGATGCAAATGTTCAAACATAAAGAGACCGTAATGCTTTGCACTGAAACACAAGGGGAGACATGAAGAGAATTTTGTTGAATCATCACTGTAAAAAAAAAAAAAGATCAATAAGTTATAAAAACATGCTTTTACATTGCTTTAACTCATCCAAATAAGTTTAAACTTTTTTTTACTTTTTAAGTTATACAGTACAAGATTCAACTAATTTTTTGGGTCATATGTAATTTAAGTTAGGAATTAAAACATCCAAGTTGATTGTACTTAAAAATTTAAGGCAGCAACTTTTTGTTCTGTACGTTTAAAAATTGCATATAGTTATCAGATATTTTTTTTATATCTGTCTGCTGCAAATTAATGCAGATTAAAAATATTTATCACAAAACTGTAAATTAATGTCAAGTACAAAGAGTGTTTTACATATTTTAGAGAAAACATGACATTTTAAAATGATATGCCTTCCATCCGCACATCCCCATTAATTTTTAGCATTTTTTATTAAAAATGGCAAACCTAAATGTTTAAGTTCAAAACAGCAAAAAAAAAAAAAAAAAAAAACTTAATACAGCCTAATTATAAAACAGAAGAAAATCTTCTAATCTTAAGGGTTCTGTCAGCTGCTGGGATCATTTTATGAATTTGGTTTTAATTAATTGTTTTTGTTTTAACTCATTTTTCATTTTAATTCAGTTTTATGACTTAAACAGCTCGTAAACATATACTTGATCACAAAAAAAAAAACAAAAAAAACTTTTGAACATGAAAGTATTATGCAATCATTCAGGACATTTTTCTTAGCCGCATTAAGCGTTCTTTAAAATCGAGTCAAGTCGAAACTGAACTACTTTGAACCTTTTTTTTTCTGTGTCACAGACTTACATGACCACAATTCAAATGAAACTTTTTCCTCAAAAAAATTTTTTTTCGTTCTGTAAATCTTTACTGAACACAGAGTCAGTCAGAAGGGTGCGATCAAGTAGTGATTTCACAACACTCATAAATGATGGTGTTTCAACCCATCCAGTTTATGATCATTAATATGGAGATAATTCAGAGCAGAATCTAAATGACAACGGAATGACAAAAACCACACACATAATGTGGTTCATTATATATGGCTTGCAGAGACTGTTCATGTTAGGGCTGGATATTGGTTGGCTGGTAAAAAAAAAAGAGAGAAAAGTACAAAGTAACTTTTTTAATCCATTCATCATGCTCTTACAGTTCCCGCAGGGGATTAAAAGGGCTTCATAATCAGTCACTCAATGTTAAATGTATGGGAAAAGAGCTGGCCTCAGTCTTGACAAAATGATTTCTCAATGGAACGGGAAGGCTCATTTACATAACAATTATGGGAACTGCATGGAACTACTTTTCTGCGGCTTTCTACATAATGAAAGACAATTTATTTCTTTATTCATAAGGAAGCGAGTGCTTGAACTTCATTGGTGTATTTTTGTATAAAGATATTTATTCCATGGTGTGTGACACTTCATCGCAAAGCTTAAATAGTAATAAAAAATCGTGAAACCCCCTGAAAACACACAAAACAGCCTTGTATGACCACTTTATTATAAAAGAAAAGAAAAATGGCTGTGTCATGATGATTGTTTTATTATTATTATTATTGTAAGCCTATTTGGTGATACACATTAAGATATGAAAATATTTATAAAAATGTATTAGCATGAAAAAAATGATATTATTTAAGACAATAACAGATATATAAGTACTTTATACTTTAAATACTTATGGAATATAAATATGTATGGACTAAATACATGGGCCCCCACACAGAAGGAACTCGTGTTGCTTTAAAGGCCCTTGCTTAAGACCCGCCCCTCTGAGTCAGCGGTCACATGACTCATAAAGTTTGATGTCCTGCCCAAACTTTCAGAAGTTGAGAGAAGAAGAAAAAAAGTTAGCTAGGTTAGTGAGAGGGCTGTGATTTTCAAAGCGCAGGACAGTCACTACCAATGTCTGCGTTAGAAGAGCCGTAAACTTTTAGGGAAGTCACACGAACAGCGCTGTTAAAGAGTTCAGACACTTTATAAAAAGTTTAAAGGATAAAGTTCAGTAGATATGCTTGTTTCCACATATATTGGGGTGTTTTTGGGAAGAAGAAAAACACTGCGTTGCCTACTTTTTTTCGCAAGGCTTGGATAATTAATAAAGTGGACGGACAGAAAACGGCTGTTTGGATCTAACTTTTCGGCGTTTTATGGTTGCAGTCAACTTTCCTGTTTACACTATTTCAGTCGGATAGAAAGCAGAGCTCTATTTTATTTGGAGTCATGGATCCGAGCCAGCACAACCCTCCTGTCGGCCATCAGATCGTCCATGTTCGGGGAGACTCCGAGACCGATCTGGAGGCTCTTTTTAACGCTGTGATGAACCCGAAAAACACCATCGTCCCCCCTTCCGTGCCGATGAGGATGAGAAAGCTGCCAGACTCATTCTTCAAGCCGCCAGAGCCAAAGTCCCACTCCAGACAAGTAAGACCACCCCACAGAAACCACAAACTATTTCCACAAACTTTTCCTGCGGCTGACACTGCAACTGGCGCGCGCACAGTTTCACGCGACTTTAGTTCGACGCATTTTGTCGCGTATAGATTTTTTTTATTGCATGAACAAAGAACAGGGATGACTGCATTAAGGGAAAAATACAGGGAAAATAAAGTGTCCACTGATAATATATGACAGCAAGTTTTGACCAAAGTTAAAAATAATAATATGCATTTCAATAAAAATAAACAACAGTACTCAGTCAGAACCTAAAAATTCATAATACGTTAGAAATGTGTGTGTGAACGACTAAAGCAACCAACTGCTCCACAGGAAAAATAGCTCAATTGAAAGTTATCGTTAAGTAGGCTATACTGCTAACCTGAAACATAGTTTGATCTAATATGTTTATTAAAAATCTCAATAGCATAAGGCTAATTCTCTAGCTCTATTTGAATTTGGTGCCATTTTGGCTGCACCATGGTACAGTCACAGTGACGGTGAAACATTAGGCTACTTTGTCAAATAATTGTGTAGCCTACTTATTGGGCTTAAATGTCTTGACTAACAGTACAAAGTAATTCGCTTGCTGCGTACAAGTTCCTGTCAAACGATAAGATTCAATTTCCAGGTTTGATTTCTGTAGATGGTAGGCCTAGGTAGCCGACACACTTCATCCAACTTTATTTTAGTTGTGTGTTACATAAATCATTCCGTTACTGTTTTACAGAGGGAAACCTCCGTACATAAAACGATTCAGTGTATGAGTGAACTTTTGAACGAATGATTCGGACTGAATCACAAAACGGTTCAGACACTATGCTAACCCGTTTGACCAGTTCATTGAAAAGAACCGACTCAAAAGAGTGATTCCCTTCGCTAGTTGTGATCTTGTGATTCTAAACAGCCGAGTTCAGTGTTCTGTTCTTTACAATTCCATCACTGACCTTTACATTTATCGCTTTGTCTTTAGATGAAACATTTTGCCTGATGAACACTTTTCATTTTCACAAGAATGGCGATATATAAGCGGTCCGTTTTATAGTTCATAGTTTAGTTGCGGATTATAGTCTTTAGTTTCCAGCACTTGTGCCACGAGAGAAGATACTTAAATCGTTCGGCTATCGTTTGAAGCTTAAAAAAGTTTTACAACATCAACAACAAAAAGGGTTAACTACAAAAGTAATTGAGTTTTCTCGATCTTGGAATCACATCTCGCGCATGCGTACACGGCGAGTTGTGCTGAAAAGTTGCTCCAGGACAGCCTGTTTCCTTCTTAGCTCCTCCTAAAGTCTGCAGCGTAGGCGACATCCGTTTCTTAACCTTTTGTTGTTGTGAAATAAGCTGATAAAACTAATGAAAGCAACTCTCTGCTATGATTCAAGAGGACAGCAGTGCCCGCTTGTGTAAAAAAAAAAAAAAAAAAAAAATACTCAGTTGTATTGTATGTTTCCATGTTTTTATTCAAGATGGAAATAAGTTTTCTTGTTTGTATCCTGGTTCACATGCACTTTGACTTTCCCTTTATTCATTGGAAAAACGGACTAATTTCCTATACTTTTCCAACCCATAGTTTAAAACATAGTTTTATTTTAAATAAATGTATATAAATAGCTTAACAAGTAAAATGCAAACTATGTTATTAATGTATTTGCATTATATTTTGTACCTTGAAAAAAAGCTTGTACGTGCAATACATCACTGAGCTCATTAATAATTTCACTGCAGCAAACAACAGTTTTTTCCTCCATGTTTCCTTTAAAAAGTTATTGGCTAGTTGAGCAGAGTAATTAGTTAAAGTTACAAAGAATGTTCACAGTAACAAATTCTACGCATGGAGGACTTTTATGGCATCAAGAAAACAGATGTGACATAAAAAGCAACGGAAACAAAATTTATAAAGAATAATGCTTTGACGATTACCATGTGATATTTATCAAGATTAATGGATGGATTTATGTACTGTATTGTATTGCAACCCTAATTTCTGTTATCATTTCAGCAGAAGTATAAGAGGAAAAATGTATTTAGTATAATGACCTTCGCAGTGGTGCATATTGAAGTTAATTGTGTGGGTGTACATGTGTATGTGTTCTGTTCTTGGTGTTGTGTGTATATGTGACTTCAAAATTGGTGTTTTGAATATTTAGGTTTACTTTAGACATAAGCCTCTTCGCTTTTTAAGAGACTTATTGCTTGTAGCCTTTTTGCTTCCAATGTAATCCTAATCCTCTATCCCTCTACAGGCCAGCACAGATGCAGGTACTGCTGGCACCCTCACGCCCCAGCACGTCAGGGCACACTCCTCGCCGGCCTCCCTGCAGATGGGTGCCATTTCCCCAGGCACGCTGAGCAGCATGGGTCCTGCCCCACCTCAGCACCTCCGCCAGTCCTCGTACGAGATACCCGATGATGTGCCGCTGCCCCCAGGTTGGGAGATGGCCAAGACCCCTTCGGGACAGAGATACTTCTTAAAGTAAGTTGTCATGCTTGATGTGGCAACATTGTTTGTCTTTTGAATTGGTAAGGCATCGTTGTCCTTTAGATTGGGGTTACAGAGATAGTATAATGAAAATCTGTATGAATTGAGTGGTTTAATCCAGGTCTTTTAAAGAAACACGAACGCTGTATATGATGAAGGGGTTAAATTTAGGTTTTTATTTACATTTAAACATTGATCGGCAAACATGCATAGACCTAGCCTGACTACGATAGACTTTGTAGTTCCGCTCAATTTCAGTTCGCTTCTGTACATCGCTTCTGAAGCCCGAACAAGAAGAGTGTTTGTTAAACATTTTGAATGGAGGTGATGTTTAAGTTGGAGAGAGAGGTGATTGCGTTATGTGATTGGCTTACAGGTAACCAATGATTTTATACTTCATACAAGCGCCATACAACCCCCCCCCCCCCCCCAGTAGCAGAGTTTGGTATTACCAGGCTAGCATAGACCACATCAAATACGGAAAATGGAAGCTCAACCACACTTGACTGACACGCAAGAATACATTTGCAGTTTGTGCAGAAGCTCAAACATCCTGGCGTGACACGTGAGAATGAACCTCATTGGTTCTTGCACGTCATGGAAACACGCTTGAGCTCATGTTTACCAAATTTGAGTGCTCTATCTATGTATGTTCACTAGCTGTCTTTACATGGACCCTAATAATCCGATTGTAATCGGTCTAGTAGTAGCACAGTCGGAATGTATTGGCCAAATCGGATTAAAATTTAATTTGGATTATAAGGGGTGCTTTAAACATTTCCTTATCCGAACATGTAAGCACTAGCCTGGTAATACCAGACTCTGCTACTTCACTTTGCTTCGTACACAGAGTCTGGGATAGCATAATAGAGAAGTGTTTTCTCTCTCGCTAGGGGGCGCGTACTGAAGTTTAAAATCAGTGGTTACCCGTAAGCCAATCAGATAAGTTTGTTTATGACGTATGTTATGCGCCGACACAGCCATCGAACCACAGACATCATGCATCGAACTCAAATCTATGATCGAACTTCCACTGTAAACACTTGATGATGCGAGCGAAATACCCGAGTGAACATGGCTGTAAACGACTTTTTTGATCTGTGAGTGATGTAATAGAATGACTGCTGCGCTTGACAGGGCACAAACGAGCAGAGAGAGAGAGAGAGAGAGAGAGAGAGAGCCCCGGCCGCGCGCGCGCACTCCCACGTCTACAAACAACACGAGCGCTGTCTTGCTCTCTCTCCCTCGCGCATATTCATAAAAATCAGTCGACAAGATAGTAAGAGGTCGGAAGACCGCGGTTTCACGTGGAGCATTTGGAGATTTTTAGAGATTATAGACTCTAGGAACAACATCTCAATGAACAACATCTCAACTATAAAGGCCTGTCTCATATAAGTTAGACGCCTATCTCAAGTACAAGCTGGTGCAGTTCGACGATTTGGGCAAATAAAAGCCCTGGCTATTATTTGAAGTTTTACGGTATTTAAGACCTGGAAAAGAAAAGAGACACTGACCTGTCAAAAGGCTCCCCAGTTTCTCGCTGACGATCGGTAACGTTAATAGTTGATAAATTAAACTTTTCCCAAAGGGAGTAGGGCCACAACATCACCTCCATTCAAAATGTTTAATACACACTCTTCGTGTTCGGGCTTCAGTTTGCTAATGCCGGGAATATTCTCCACAACAGAGCGAATTGCATCCGCGTCTCCATATCAGCGGTCGTTTTCGATTTCCCTGACCTAATCTTAAACACGGCGCTTACCGACTACGTCACGGCTTTCAGCCCGCCCTCTGTTCGTTGATTGGCCAGGCTGTTTTCAGGCCGGTGGAAAACAGAAAGATAGGCTGCTATCTCAGACTGACTACAGCAGTGGTTCTCAAAGTGGGGTCCGCGGACCCCTGGTGGTCCGTGAACTATAGCCAGGGGGTACGCGAAATAATTTATAACAGCCTACCGTTTTTCCCCGACTATAAGTCATCTTTTCTTTAGCATCTGAAAACTTGCTATTTATTCCAAAGTGACTTATATAATGCATTTAATGTCAAATAATAAAAAAGTAGGCTCTTAAAGGTTTCTATGGATAGATAATCTATCTATATTTCTTATGTCTGTGCGTCAAGTATTCGCTGTGTTTTGGTCGATTTTTGGGCACGTGCGCCAGAAAGGAGACAGAGACGGCAGAACGCGCATCCTGTTGTGTTCTTTATTTTTAAAAGGCATGGCATTTTGTAGTCATTTTTAATTATACACAAATAAAAAATAGACACTTTGCCATTTTGAATGATGTACTCTTATCTGTATGACCATAAATAAGAGTATTCCTTTGTTTCCACTGCTGAGGAAAAATCCAAGTGTTCGCGCCGGCGTCTCGTGTGCGCGCACAATATGTCAGTTCTAGCACTGCTAATTTGACATCAAAACCTGTTCATTATCAAAATAAAATACTCACCGAACTTATAAAAAGTTCTGCTTAATTTAATTTGTCTGTTGTACACTATGAAGGCAGTGACGGTCAATCATATACTGTCGACTTGCTGTTGTTCCAATCTCATTTCTCCAAATGTGAAGATGCTGATACTTGTAGGCCTATATTGGGACTGAAGCATGAAGCTTTCTTTACATAAATAGTTAAGCATCCAAATGTTAGGCTACATCGCAAATATGGAAACTTTGGACCGAATGAGAGATGCACGAGCCCAACGTCTGCAGTTTCAGTTTCGATTCAACTTAATTAGTTTAGACTTGATGTTTTAAATAAATGTTGTCTGTATACTATTATTATTATTATTTGTATTATTATCTATTAATATTATTATTTTTCATTCTCGTTTTGTTCTGAATACCATTAATTTAAGGATTTGCTGTGGATCGTGAGGGGAAGTAGGCCTACTACGCCTCAAGAACGCAACAAAGTATTACACACTCAGGTGCAACTTATTTTCTGGAAAATACAGTAAATTATAAATTTGTGCATAGGGACAGGGTCGTATACCCACAATTGAGGTCCCTCAATTGAGGCCTCTGTAATTTTTCTATGTGTATAATGAAAGTTGTGAAATAATTGCCTAATATTAACTCTAATTAGGTGCTGCAAGGATATTAAACATCGCGATGATAACTGACCTTCTCATCTGAGCGGTTTCAGCAGACTAACAGCGCTCGTCAATGTCAAAATGTTTGAGTCGGAGATTAAATCAAAGTAGGCGGGTTTATGTTCACAGAAGCTGCAAGCCGAGCGCGAATTTCCGCATGACGCTTCAGTTATTCGGTCATAAAGTGCGAGATAAGATGTAAATCGCTAAACTAAACAGCTGTTTTAGATAGAAGTTTTAAACGAACGACAGAAACAATCAGTTTGCAATGTATCAACCGGGAAAGGAAATATACAACGCCACAACGTAAATCCCAGTTGTGCAAGTGGGTCATGTTGTCACGCGTTACAATGAATATGTTTGAACTATGTTGTATAGCTGTGTGTTCGTTGTCAAACTCAAAAATTAGTTTATTTTTAATTATTTTAAAATGCCATTATTTTATATGAAAAAGTTAATAATTGTATTTTATTGAGAAAATATTTTTGTTTGTCTTGTATATTTGTTTGATTAGATCAGATAACATTTTAATCTGTCATATGGTCATGTTACAATGTGCCCCACCTATGGGACATGTTGTCACATTGCACTTCCATTCTTTCTGGGTATATCAAGAAAAAAGTAAAATTTTTGGCCTTAAAAACACCTTAAAATGCACGTGTAGATCAAGAAAATCTAAAATTCCTCAGGGGGGCATGCCCCCGAACCCCCCTAGCAAGATCACTTTTGGGACCTCAGTATGCTATTTAGAAAACCCTGCATATGACCCTGGGTGGAGACTATTTGTGTCAAAATATTTCATTAACCGCTCCCACATTAACTTTAGGCTCAGTCACTGTTATAAATATGAGGGGGTCCTTGAAAATGTTTTTCCCCTGTAAGGGGTCCCTGGCTCCAAAATGTTTGAGAACCCCTGGACTACAGGAGCGAAATGAAATTAGCGGAAGTAGGAAGTCTGATGTAGTCAGGCAAGTAAGCACTTGGGCCCTGTCCCAAATGGAACCCTAAGCACTCGCGGTCTTCCTCTGAGTCCGCACTTTCGCGACGTAACGCCGCTTTGAATGTCGGGAAGAAGTCTGCTGTGGAGTCCGCATCAGCGCGGGCTCGGCAAAAGTGCGCATCAAGGGCGCAAATCGACCGCAGAGGGGGCGCTCGCGAGCACCCTTCTGAGATCTAAAAATGACAAATGGTACACACTGCGGTCTCACGGACTTAACGGACACGCGCACGCGGCAGCCATTGTAAGTCCACAAGACCGAAAGTGCACATGAAGTGTGCCATTTGGGACAGGGCCTTGATCGGAATGAAACCCGAAACTGGAAAGTACTGCGCATGTGCAATGACGTAGAAATGGCATATTGACAGACATATGACGCATGGAACGAGCTGATGTTGTTTTTAAATATAGTGTCATGAATGAGTGTCGTGTCTTTCTAAAATTCTCCTTTCACTCATCGTCTTCGAAGTGGAGCAGGACAACGTCCCATCAGTCCCTGTTTCAGACTCTCATCCACAGAGAGGCGCTGGAAGGGGCGTTTTTATTGCTTGATAAATATAAGCAGCGCGGCACAAACGGTTCATGTGCTCGTCGTCTCCTATTTAGGACCCGAAATAGATAAAGATAAACTGTGCTGTATAAAACAAAGAAATGGAGCAATATTAGAGAATGTTTAGGTTGCGCAAACAGTGGGAAACTATATTTGTGCAGTGTGCATATCAAAAAATCAATTCCGATTTGAAGCTTTGTGACATAAACGTGCACATCAACCTGATCACTTTATTTAGCGTTCATGTGTAACACTAAAACAAAAGATGTCCATGTAAACGTAGCTACTGATCAATGTTTATATATTTTTGGGTGAACTAACCCTTTGAGTTTGCAGTGCTACCAGTCATTT